TTTTACTTAGTCGAAAGTGTTCAAGGGCTCAATTGGTACAGACGTTGATTTCAAGTTCATTATCGGTTCCCAGTTCTTTTCAGTCTCATGGGGGTCACTAAGAAAGCATGCGGGAGAAAAGGGGACTGAAATGAGGATTTTCAAACAAGGTGAAGGTAATTACCAGTACTTTTCAAGGCCATAAAGATTTCCTTTATTGTAAAAGTCAAGCGTCAATCTCTCGAAATCCTCATAAAGATCCTCTCTAAATTCCTTTTCCAAACCATAACTGAAACAAGACAAACAGTATAATGAGTATCTAAAGAAAGTATGTCAGAGAAGGAAAGGGCAGCTAACTGCTGAAAAGGGTAACTGCTGAAGCTGCATAACATGGAGATGTACAAGAAAAGTACCAGCTGTAAGAGTTCAGATGTAAAAGGGCAGCAAACTAAACTGTCATTAACAATGGGATGTAAACCATACCTTTTTTTTTAGGAGGACAAGTAAACCATACCTATAAAATCTAAACAGACACTCCATCCCATAGTTGTAATTAGCAGCAGCATCTTCTTGAGCCAACTTTTGGAACTCATTGTACATAGAATGAATAAACATGTTTCGCAGAAAATACGACCAAAACCTGTACAGTGTATTCATTTCCTGCATGCCAAAAAGATAAGAACCCTTTAGAGAGTTAAAATTATGCACTTTAGGCACGCAAACGGATGGCCAAATGGGCAGTAGGCGGACAAATAGACACATCATACATGTGTATACACAGAGATGAGTCAAAGACCTCCCACTATGAGTTAACGCGATTGAAGAGGAAGAATATTGCTATTTCAAAAGTTTGGAAGCATTCATGTGATTTCCTTTCAACCGATATCAGATATGCAAATTCAAGAGAACTGTCATTTTTATAGAGATGTATTTTACATGTGGTTTTGTTAACAAACAGAACCTTTTAGGTAAAGAGAACAGTACTATCTGTAGATATTTATTTTATAGGTGGATTATAAACAAACAGTCGCTTCTAGGTACTAAAAAAAATTCTTTTCTTTTTATGAGGGCATGGGAAATTTTCAATTTGTGTAAATAGTTGGATAGATTTTTTGGAAACTTAATGTTAGAACATTCTTGTAAATTTTTGGCGCTATCTTGGTGCAACTATAATGGAGTGACTTTTGACTTTTTTTAGAAGAAACGAAATGACTTTTGACTTATCAAAACAAAAACCATAAAGGAACAAAATCAATAAGATAATCAAACAAATTTCACATTTTTCAAATAGAGATGAGTTATATTTCCATATCTCACCCCCAAATGAACTTGCAGAAGAAGTGATATTCCTCGCATTTTAAACCCTTTCTATAAGAGGCAATTCATCCTCATTAGATTTAATATAACTCCTCTTTGTTTCCTTTCTATCATCCTCAAGTAAAGGGTGATGCTATCTAAGGAACTGGTGAATCCAAACACAAGGAAATGCAGAACCAAAATTAAGGGGAAGTAGGCACCTCACTGCAACCAATTCCAAGTTTCTTGCGATTACTCAGACAGCGCTTATGATACTTCTTGTACCTAAAGGTGGAAAACCCAAAACCAATACTCAGGAGGTAAAAGAAAATGCACAAGGAATATAATGTATAAATCGGTGTACATACAGATCTGTGCATGAAGAAATGCATGCACATGAATACAAAATTCACAGAACACCAGTTCCTTATAAAAGTAAATCTACTCACAGTTGTTGTGTAAAACCATTTTCTTGTAGAAGCTTATGACTTGGATGCTGGAAAGGTGGAAATGGTTTCGGCATGGAACCCACAGGCGGACTACTACTAGCAAAATTGCTATGCGGGGAGGCACTCAACTTTGAAGGCCTTGACCTGGAAACATAAGAGTGCAGGTATACTAAGTTTACTGTTTGGCACACCAGAACCTTTTTTTACAATTCTCTGATATTAATAAATTTCATAGACTTGCATCGTGCTCTCTTTTCTTTTATTTTGATCATCATAGACTTGCATTCTTGCTCTTTAAGGAATAATTAAACAATCAAACATATAACAATATACACTCCGTTAGACCACGTCAAGGGATTCAGAACATACACATGACTGTCAGGAGGTGTAGAACCAAAGAAAAACCCAACTGAATCGCTAGGTGGACTTTCAGATATTGTTCCTACACTGTTCCGAGAAATCCCATGATTTCGGTAATTTCCTGAAAACAGCCGCTGCTTATGTATTGGATGCGGTTTAGTAAATCCTTTGTTTTGCTTCCTTCGAGAATTAGAATTTCCAGTGCCTTCACTGTTTTTTCCTCCAGAAGAATGATCAGCATTCTTTGATTTTGATAAAGCAGCAGCTGTACCAGAAGACCTCGTAATCTCATCTCTAGAGCCATAAATGGAGTTGTTAGATCTACAACTGGATCGCGTAGCTTTAAGCTCCTGAAAGATGAGAAAGTTTTCAAGACATTCTAATACTATATAAGTTGAATAAGCCAAGCATGATCTCAAAAAAGCAAACACCAACCTGCTCATAGAAGTAGAGGCCATCATTTATTGCAGAAGCAAGCTCAGTAGATATTGGTTTTGATTCTTTTCCAACAGTTCCGGATACCTGAGATGTCCGAGTGTTCTGTATGCGAACCACGTAGATGAGATAATTAGCCTAATTATACAATAATTCAGCTCAGTAGTGTAGAAGAAGGGCAACAGAAGTCCTGTGTAAACACAATAGCTCCTAAAGTCATTTTCCACAGGCTTCTCCTGAGCTGCATCAGTTGCAGTGTCTTAGCTTTTTCATGAATTTGGCCAAATTTTTGAGTCAATAGAACAACCGGTTTTCAATTTGTATTGTCTCTCACCAATACAAATTATCCTACTCACATATGCAAATTAAGGCTGGGCAAATCAAAATCTTGTAAGGACTAAGGAGTACACAAAGATTCTAAGGAAAGCATCAATTAATACATAGCAACCCCAGATATGGTGTCATTAACAAGGATGGAAAGTTGAGATATCGAGCAAAATCAGACATACATCACCAGTCATATTGACTAGACGAGTCCAAATTTGGAAGCATAAGAATCCTAAAAATCAGTCCCAAGTATACACTCAAAAAAGAAGGGGTCATCAAAGAAATTCCAGCTCAATAAAAACAAAAAGCTTTTGAATTCAGCTATATCAATAAGGTCCATGACTCCCTGAAGAGAAGTTGAGATGGTGGTAGCAATCCATCCATACACTAGGAATATAGTCCCATTTCTAAGTAGTAATCACATTCTACCAAATGCCCCAGTAGTCCAAATCCATGTATGAATTGGACCACATAGATCTGGTATTACAAATCTGTCTCACCATATCATTCACGGTCCTTAGCTTTCAAAGTCTGTTCTTGGTGACATAAACTCCACTCTTAAAATTACGTTCCTATTTTGCCCATTAGGTCTTTTAATAGTATTTCCATGGAGCTAAGGTCCAAAATATGGAAGAAACAAGCGTTTCCAAGACCCTACCACCCAGTCAATTCTGTTCCACTTAATCCCTCTTTCATGGCCACATATCTTTCCGGNCACAATTATTCAAAAAGTCATCACCAATCCTACTTCGCAAATCATTTTTAATAAACTTCATTGAAGAAAAAGCCCTTTCAACCGTTGCAGTAGCCACAGGTAATATCAAACTCAGCTTCACAAGCAAATAAACAAGTCCTCATGTCTTGTGAATATTTGTTTTAACCAATGTCTTCGACAGATCACCAAGCCTTATCAAGTTAGAGAATGCATTGTCCATTTCTCGCACATAGTCAATATAGTTGTCAAGCTCATAACTAAGATCTTCAAGCTTAGAAGCAGTGAACTCATTTGGATAATATGTAGCAAGTTTCATAATCTTGTTTTTATCATAATTTGCAAAAGAATCATCGGGACTCAAACTAACCATACCGAGAAGCGGAGAAGTATTCACTTCACTAAAACGACTGTTAAGCTCCGAAAGTTGCAAATCAATAGCAGCACAAAAACCTCTACGTACAAATGATGGGAATATGTAACAGTTGAGCTTTTACNAGGATCTGTTTGGGAAGTAAGAAGCCCCTTTGACATCTTTTCATCTGCAAATCATTCTCGATGTGAAAACACAGAGCCAGGGGTCTGATCTTTGAATAGGAAAAAGAGTGGATCTGCAGGGTCCCAAATGAATTGGCTCATTCGAAAAAGGCCTTGTTCTTTGGAAGATCTATCTCGTGTCTGGTACTGCATGGTTCCACTCTGCAAGNTCAAGTGTATACTTCTCACCCATTTTTGGGATTACAATACCATTCTTATCACAAAACGAAGAGACATCTTCTATCAAAGAATTCCATTTAGATTCTCTCATTGTTTGCAATTGCCTCTTTGTGAAATCAACAAGTTTCATTGCACTAACAATATCTTGATCTTTTTTTTGTAGGGCCATATTCAAATCATATGTAATTGCCAATAGTTTTAACATCAAATGTAATATACAAACGAATTCATAAGATCTTATATCTTCCACTAGACTTTTGGCTAATGCTTTCTCCTGATAATTTGAACCC